ATACATACATATATCTGTGAAAATTTCTTTGTTAACTCAGTGAGACTTACTTTTGTCTCTTTTCAATATGTCAGTATGCGATAATAGAGATTCTCGATAGTGACTTTTTGTCTATATTTAATATGCCGATATTGTTCAACACTTAATTTTCGATTCCGATATTAACCGATATTACAAACTGATATTAAGATGACATCACATAACTCCTGTCAAGGACATTATGCCTGCTTTTACTGTAATACCCCCACTAGATGCATTTCAAAGGGAAACATTGTCTGTACAAAATAAAAAAACATTTCAAAGTGCCATATTTATTTTTAACATTTTGTCTCAAATAATAGTTTGGATCATGCTCTCCCTGAGATAATCCAGTTTGATGATGTCATCAATCTTGCGCCGGTGAACGTCTCTGGAACAAAAGCATTGATCAGCTCATTTTGGTCAAATCCAGGCATTAACTTGTATGGCTTTTGTTACGGGAAGAAATACCGATATGTAAAGATTTTACATTTTTATGCTCCGATAATATCTGTAGGCCGATATTATCGGACATCCCTAGAAAATAGTTTTGCTGCTATATGCATTTTTAGCATTCTCCAGTCACTCTAAAATGACCATTTGACTCTAAGATGACCATTCAAGGTTCAGAAGACTGAAGTTGTTGTGGATGTTTTTTACATGAATCTTGGTTTAACTCTCTCCAAGCCGCTCTCGGCTTCAAATCAATTCCTATAGACTAAAATTAAAATGCTTGGGTCATTGTCAAGCCTGAACTCTCCAGAAACCATACTCTGCAAATTTTGTGCATGTTCAAAATTATTGTCTGACAACACATCCCATCTTATGTCAGTGTGTTGAAAAATTTCACACAAGTTATGTTATACTTACACCAGTGTGCTTGACAGTTTAATCAACTGTCAGGCAGTGACAATTCTAGTCCTGATTTTTTAGGGGTGCTTGAACGCCCCTAAAATTTGAACTTAGCATCCCTGAAAATAAAGAAACCATTTTCTATTTTAAAAGGAACTTTTGTTCTCAAACCGTACATTCACCAAAATACTGAATTTGAAACTAGAAGCACTCGTAGAGTGCACACCTCTGCCAGTCATGCAGCAACCTGTGTGGTTAGCACTCAAAATCTGAGTTTTCTCTGGACATGAACGCATCACAGACTCTCATAGCTGGGGTCTCATCATCTGTTCCTCATTGGTCAAAACAAAACTTTAGGAGCAGAGCCACAACTGGCTGGAAAACAAACAGTGTTCGGGCTGCAGTCTGATGACAGTCAGGGAAGTGCAGGGTTTTTTATGGTTTAGGGGTTAAAAAAAGGAGCCGAACTGATCGATGAGTATAAGGTAAGCTATGCTGTGTTTACAGCTGTTACACCTGCCGCAGCATGGTACTTTCGTTCATCATCATGTTTATTAGTAACTTGGAATTATCGGRACTCTAGTAGTCCTTGAATAAAACTATTAACACAGAAATATGTACATTTGTAGACCTGTGACCAAGACTACTGTCAAGGTGTGTCAGTGTTTGACACTTACTTTTCCTTCCTCCTCCTAAACTGAAAGTTTTCTTTCTAAGATTATTTTCAGATTATCATGTGAAAATCTACAAATTTTAATTTTACAGAGTTGTTTTAACAGTTTGTGTTGAGTTTAAAAAACAAACTAACAGGTTTTCAGGTAAATAGTCAAAGTAGAGCAGGTTGTGGTGAAACAGACACAGGACGCTGAATACAAAAGGTAAATGGTTTTATTTACAGTGAAGGTGGGTCTGGATCCAAAGCTGAAAGAGAAGGCAGCAGGTAAGTATTGGTGGAGGAGGTAGAATAATATTACAAGATTTAGCAGGTGAGAATGAGGTCTTTCAAGTTCCAGGTGGAAGCTGTGCTCGAAGGGAGGACCAAGTTCTTCAGGTAAGTGTTTATTGAGAGCAGGCCTGGTGTGACTAATCGGAAGGATCAGAACTTCTCCCGATGGGCCGGTATGATATTTGGGCCGCAAGGGCCGGAAACGTGTTAGTTATTGATCAGATCACTGCCACTGCTGTCCCTGTTCTGCTGGGCAGTTGTGTGATACAATGGCCTGCCAATAGGCCCAGGGCTGCCTCCGCCTCCAGCTGGAAACGTGTTAGTTATTGATCAGATCACTGCTACTGCTGTCCCTGTTCTGCTGGGCAGTTATGTGATACAATGGCCTGCCAATAGGCCCAGGGCTGCCTCCGCCTCCAGCTGGAAACGTGTTAGTTATTGATCAGATCACTGCTACTG